TTGTTTGTAGATTAACAGCCAACTAAGTCTCATATAATAAAGTCTACTCCTGTAATTCGTTTTACACCAAACAAGACTGAACATTGATATAAAACCAAATTATCCTGCTGTTTCTTTTTTACAAGAAATAATTTGTATTTTATAGCTACAATTTGTCATAAATCAACTCTACCTTAACGGGCAGTGTTTAGTACTTTCTTTGAGAAACATTATCAGCACATATTCAGACTTTATAGGGAAAGCTAGAAAACATAGTGTTGATATTATTTCTTCCACACTCACAAAAGTGGGTAACTAGTCTGCAATGTCATTGCTGCTCCAAAATCATGGACATTGTGGTTCCTCGAAATATAATTTCTAGACCTCTTAGAAGGTAAACAAGAAAAAAGGAATCTTGCATTTTATTTTCCCTGTGGTTGAAGACAATACAAGCATCAGCTACAAATGTATCTTTGCATAAAGGAATATACCTAAACTGTTCAAATAAGCTACATCTTTTCTTTGTATTTTTAACAAAATAATTTATGATTTTTTTTTTATTCTTTTGTTGTTGTTTTTTTTTTTTGGGCAGTGTTGTCCGTTTTCGTCGCACAGGTGAGAGCACACGATCTGAGGAAGATGTTGAAAGCAGAGAGCAGGAGGTCAGGCCAGCCGAGCCTGCTGACCAGGAGTCTGTGGCACTGGCAGAAGGCACTGCGGTGCCTCGAGAATTTGCCAATCCAACCGACGGTGCGTTATCTTAGGAATCTGCTCCTTTTCTCTAACTCCTATACTTTTCTATTCAATTAAAGCAGTGATTTACTCAGATTACTACCAAATTATCATCTGTCTCATTTTCTCAGACACGTTCATGGTAGAAGATGCTGTGGAGGCCATAGGTTTTGGCACATTTCAGTGGAAACTCTCCATCCTCACTGGTTTATCCTGGGTGAGAGTTGCGCCTCAAACTCCATGCAAGCTTGACAGAAGTTGTTCTTGCCCACTCCCGCACTAATTTCCTGAGTGTCTCTTGGTTCCCTGTTTGTGCAGATGGCCGATGCCATGGAGATGATGATACTCAGCATCTTAGCCCCCCAGCTCCACTGTGAATGGAGACTACCAAGCCTTGAGGTGGCACTGCTCACATCGGTAGGAGTTTCCCAAAGTTTGTAGAGTGATCCTGCCTATAGCGCTTAATGAATGTGCTGGTAATTGAAATTAAATGAGAATATTGGGGCTTATTCGAAAATGAACAGGGAAATTGGAAAGCATGTTCAGGTTACAAAATAAAAAGTAAACAGAGAATCTGGCAAATAACCATAACAACCAAAGAGGATATATATCAATGGAAGTGCAAGCAGATGGCTAACACAATGCAAGGGAAGCTAATATAAATGACTCCTGTAGAAATCTAAATACTGTAAAATGAGACATGATTCATACAGAAAGATTAAACCTAAACCCCCAAAACAATAAAACTCAGGCTATAAAGATATCGTAATGATCATTGTTAAACTGTAATTCACCATGATTGCAGAGACATGAAACTCTCCCTGACCTACGAAACCCTTCTCACACAAAATGCTAATTACTTATTTCCATTAATGATGCAGGCGGTGTTCATTGGGATGATGATCAGCTCTTCTCTTTGGGGAAACATATCTGATAAATACGGCAGAAAGATGGTGAGTTCCGCTGCAAACCTTATGAAAATGATTCATGCAGTTCACTGCCATGGTGTTCAGAACCCCTGAAGCATCCAATGTCCCAAACTTTATTGAGACTTTATTTGATTGAACATGCATCC